GCTTGCCAGGCTCTCTGCTTAGCTGGCTCCTGGTGCCTTGGAGGGTGAGGTAGGGTGGAGTGGAGGCTGGGCCCGTGCTCTGAGCACCTCGGCCTGTTTGTTTTTCTCTGCTGTCTAAAACCCACGGTGGCTTTACTGCTGTATGATGTTGACAGTTGTGTGTGTGTGTGGTGACATTTTACTGTGTATGATGGCGTGTGCGTGTGCGTGTGCGTGTGCGTGTGTGTGTGTGTGTGTGTGGTGGCATTTTGAACTTGGTACAAGAGGAGCATGTCTGCAGCCCTGCAGAAAGAAGCCGGATCCTCCTAGGCTCTTTCACCACATTGGCCTTGTTTGGGGTTTTAATTTTCATTGTTGGATGTTTTGTTTGTTCTGTTTTATTTTGTTCATCATTGTTTTTGTTCTTCCACTTTTATTTTGTCCCGACATTTTCCTTTATAGTCCACCACTAGATATTGATCAGTTGAAGCTCATTTTAAGACTCGTTGGAACCCCAGGGGCTGAGCTTCTGAAGAAAATCTCCTCAGAGTCTGTGAGTTGATGCCTTGATTGTAATTACTGCCCTATCCGGGAGCCTCTGCCACTTACCTCCGTCACTCTGCACTTTGACCTTTGAATGTTTGTAAGCGTGTGTGCTCTGTGTGCTGACTTCTTAAGTGTATGTGTGTGTGCACACATGTGGGCCTGCATGTGCCTGCTTGCATGCATGAGTGTATTATTCTATCTTTATCTGGGTGTGGACTCAAGATCATGGGAACCCCTTGGGGGCAATTGTATGCTAATAAAATTGAGAGTTGAGATTCCAGTTCATTCCAAGAGATTAATGGGAAATTGGTGTGTCTGCTCCTGAGCCTGCCATCTCTCTGAAGTTTGCCACACACGCAAGACTCTTGACTCTCTGCTGAGAGCCTAATCTCTGAGCACTGGCCATGTCGCAGTCTGACCTCCTCTCTGAAGGGTTGCCTGCTCTTTAATTCCCTCGAGGGGCACCTTCTGTGCACGGTGTCTTCCCATGGGGCTCCTGTCCCTACCCTCAGACCACACACAATCTTCATCCACTTCAGACAGTCTGCAGATGGCTCTGAGCTCCTCCAGGGACCTTGGTCCATACAGTGACTAGCATGAGGGGCCACTTGGAACTCATGCTTTTTCCATGGAGGCCCTAAGAAGGTGACTCTCGTTTACTTGGCCATGATTTTTTTTTTTAACTCTTGGTCCCTTTCTGAAGCCAGAAACTTTGATGAAGCTTGGAAAGCCCCTCCTTCTTCTCATTCCCTCTTAGGGAAATGCACTGAGGAACCACGCCCCAGCTGTGGCCTCCCGTGTCCTCCAACCACTTCTCAGCACAAGGGCCCTCTGCCCAGCTGGGTAGCAAGAGGCAGTTTGCTTGTTCATCGCCTTGCCTGAGAAGATCAGGACCCAGCACCTGCCGCCTGGCTGTGCATAAGGGACTAGGGCTCAGGACACCTTGGAGTTTGTGTTCTGAGGCTGTAAAAGGAGGCGCTGGGCCCGTCTCACTGTGTCTCATTTACTTGTTTAAGATGGGGAAGTGAAAACACAGAAGCTGAGACTTGCCTGAGTCCTGCTCTGAGTCACTGGGCAGAGGCAGTGGGTCCCAGATGTTTTCTGTTGATGTGAGTTAATCATTGCCCCATGCAGAAGTATTGCCCACAGCTGAAGCTGGCAAGGGAGAGCCAAAGATAGGAGGGGACATTCAGAAAGGACAGGGTTGGGGTTTTGTTTTAGTGTGTGACAAAGAACAGATGATAAGAGGACATGGGGGGCAGGGTGGGGCTTGAGAAGGAGCTTGGCTAGATAGGGAATAGTGCTGAGCGGCCCATTCCTTCCCGGCCTGAGTATTACTGTCAGCACCTCTGAGTCCTTCCCACTCCACCATCTGCCTTGCAGGTATACACTGCTTGCTAAAGATTCTGAAACACACATGGGAAAGCTAATATGTACCCATCACTAACCCATCACTTATGTTTAAGAAACAGTGCTGGATATGTGACCTAATAATGAGATGTCTTTATCTTAATATGAAATGGTGGACACATACATTCCACAGTACTAGTGCAGCCCTGGGCAAAATTAAATCAGGTACCAAAATAAACATCCTCTCAAAAAAATATTGTGTTAAGTATAGTAATGCAGCTGGGCGTTGGTGGCGCACGCCTTTAATCCCAGCACTCAGGAGGCAGAGGCAAGCTGATCTCTTGTGAGTTTGAGGCCAGCCTGGTCTCCAGAGCAAGTGCCAGGATAGGCTCCAAAGCCACACAGAGAAACCCTGTCTCAAAAAAACCAAAAACAAAAAAAAAAAAAAGTAAAGTAATGCAAAAGGAGCTTTTTCCCTGAATAATTGTCACGAGGGGATCAAGGTAGTTTACATGTTTAAAAGTGTGGGCAAGATTGTCTTAATGTTGATGATACCACCCAACCTGGGAATCTCAAGAGCACACGATGCTGTGTATGACGGCATAAGCCTGTAACCCAGCACTAAAAGTCAAAGGCAGAAGGACTGAAGAGTTTGAAACACCTAGGTTACATAGCAATTTTGAGTCCAGCCTGGGCTAATTTGTAAGACACTTTGAAAAAAACAAAAAAAAAGCCGGGCGGTGGTGGCGCACACTTTTAATCCCAGCACTCAGGAGGCAGAGGCAGGCGGATCTCTGTGAGTTCGAGACCAGCCTGGTCTATAAGAGCTAGTTCCAGGACAGCCTCCAAAGCCACAGAGAAACCCTGTCTCAAAAAAACCAAAAAAAAGAAAAAAGAAAAAAAGAAAGAAAAAACAACCAAGTGTTAAGATGTAGCTGAGTTACATGAACAAGGCCATGGATTTCTTCCCCAGAACCCATAGGGGTGGCAAGCTCATAATGAGTCAGTACAGTTTAAAAAACAAACAAACAAACAAAAGCTGAGAAAATTTAAAAAGAACGCCATTAGTAAAGACTCATAGTCAACAGAATGCTGTGGATGCTTCATTTCTCCCAGAAAGAATGGAACGGTGAAGCCAGCATTGACACCCACACAGGATCTGAGTGGCCAAATGCTGGGACGAATTAAATAGTCAGATGGAGGCCCCAGGACAGAACTCATCTGGTGTCCTGGCACCTAGATTACCCAGGGAAAGAAGAAATCACAGCACTCAGAAAGCAAAGGCCTGCCTCTTGTTCCCTGTAGAAGCTAGTCTTCCTCGCCCTCAGCTAGGAGGGGGTCTGATCACCTGTTAACAGAAGCAGACGAAACCAGATCCTGTACGTGCCACTCCCAAGGAGAGAGTTGGCAGGACTTGGGCATGTGAGACCTAACTGAATTCTGCCTTGGCTGGTTCACTCTGTGACCCTGTTTGTTCTTTCTCTTATCATGCAGAGTGTTGTTTAGTATGTAATTATCTTGAAGGTAAGTCTGTAGTCTGCTAGAAGGAGCCAGTCGTCTTTGGGCTCAGGTAGAAGAAGGGCAGATCTTTAATAGTAATCTGATGTCAAGCAGGACTCGGCACACTTGAGCTGTCGTGGAAGCAGCATTCAGGGAAGCCACAAAGGAGTGACATTATTTGGCTTGGTGTTTACTAAAGATGAGACTTGAGCTGAAGAATGGATTTGATACTTCAAAGAATGGAAAGGAAGCTCACTACATTGTGTTAAATTTAAAATACTATCACGCTTCTCTCTTGAGAGGAAGTGTGTGATAAGCCGGCGGTGGCTTCTTAGATTTTAGAAACTATAACCTATAACTGTGTTGCTCTAACCACCTTATGGTTAAAGGAAGTTTAGAGTTGACCAGTCATGTGAATAAGGGCACTGAGATGGCTCAGCAGCAAAGGAACCTAAGCTGACTCCTTAGAGGTCCTCTGACCTGCATGCATGGGCGGTACGTGTGCCCTGCAGGCAGGGTCCACCACACATACGCACACACCCACACACACACACACACACACACACACACACACACACACACACACACACAAATGTAGTAAGGGAGGAAGTTTTGCCCCTGTTAGATAAACACAGCATTTTGAACTTTCTGTTCATTGAAGTTAACGTGTTCACCCATAAGTATGGAATAATTGTGGCATGCTCTGACACTTGTCACCAGCCTGTGGCTTCTGTTTTGCTTTTGCCATCAGCTTCCTAATGTACCTTCTTCACTTACCTATATGTTTATGGCATGCTTTCCCCCCCCCCCCCAGACAGGGTTTTTCTGTGTAGCTTTGGAGCCTATCCTGGCACTCTCTCTGGAGGCCAGGCTGGCCTCGAACTCAGAGAGATCCACCTGCCTCTAGAGCCTCCCTAGTGCTGGGATTAAAGGCGTGTCCCACCAACGCCCGGCCATTTTTTTTTTTAATCTTTTAATGAGACATGGTTTCTCTGTGTAGCCCTGGCTATCCTGGAACTGACTCTGTAGACCAGGCTAGCCTCAAATTCACAGAGATCCAACTGCCTCTGCCTCCCGGATGCTGGATTAAAGGCGTGCTCCACCACCGCCCAGCTGTGGCATGCATTTTAAATGTACCATTGCCAATGTCTTTGAGACTTGGCATAGCTCAACACTCCCAGTGTCTCAAGTTGTAGGAGGTGTGACTCCTAGAGAGCCTGTGCCACCAGCACTCAGCCTCTGCCTCAGGTGGATCTATTGGATATTTTAGTTTCCCAGAGTTTAGTCACCATGGACTGTGGTTTTACCACTGTGGCAAACAGGTTTTGGCTACTGGTACTAGAAAACAGTTCTCTGACTGGCATCCTGGATTAAGGAGCAGTCTGCTTCCAGGGAACTACTTAGCATTAAAGTTGACCCTTAGGGAAAATCTAGTTTTCATGTCTGCGTGGCCACTCACTGGCTAAATGCCTAATGGCTCCTGCTCCAACAAACGAATGGCCTGGGGTAGGTGGGAAATGGAGTTGTTTTGTTTGGGGATGACTTTTTGACTTTAAGAACAAAACCACAGCTTGAGCTGACTTTTGCACGGTGTGTTTACCAATGCCCTTGACTAGGCACCTAAGACATTAACCAGCTTCAGCAGATAATGCGTCTGACGGGGACACCCCCTGCTTATCTCATTAACAGGATGCCAAGCCATGAGGTGAGAGCAAACAGCACATTCAGGGAGGTCTAACTCAGGCCACCTTCTCACTGTAGGGTCTAATGTCACCTGATTATTGCATGTGCCCTGGGGACTGCTGGGGCAGTGACTGGCTGTGTGCTAGCAGGATGTTGACATTTGGGATAAAATGTCATGCAGACTGAGGCAGCCACACAGAGTAGGCTTGTAAGTAGGGATGTTTGGTTTCTGAATCTTGTGCTTGAGCACTGTATGTCTTTGTAGGTGTCTGTAGTTAGGGTGTGCAACAGCTTCGTCCCAGGTGCATGGGGCAGAGTCCATTAGCTTGCTTTCCTGTCCATCCGTTTTTTAATGACTGAGAGAGGATTGTATGCAGCACACACTATAAAATACCTTATGCTAATTAGTGTGCTGTAGAAAGACAAGCAATTCATAATAGATACAAGCCTGCAGTAAGTTTCAGGTTCTTCAGTTCATACCATTTAACCTAACTCCAGTTTATGATTGGAGGACCCTTAGCATTTTGGGAAACCAGGTTAGCAAACAGACAAACCCTTGGCAGCCTTGTTTGCATTTCAATGTACTTGTTTATATTGAAGGATGGCTTCTCTGGGTGAGATGGGTCTTCTTACCTCTCTCTTCCTTCCATTCCTTCTTCCAGTCTGCATGGTTACAACCATGTGTATTTGTTCCCATAACTTTTCAGATTACAGTGAGTCTCTGCTGCAGGGCTAGCTCTTCTTTAAACTTAGCTGGTTAGGAAGGCAGTGCTGGAAAAGATTTAGAAGTCAAGGTTCTGTTTTTAAGCTTCTGACCCTGTGATCGGAAAACTAATGGAAGGGTAGTTGATTGGTTAGCAGTCTCACCCATGTGAATAGAACTGGGGGAGACAGCGAGACTAAAGTCAGTGATCACAAATAGAGGCGTTAAGGGGCTGGAAGAGTAAGTCTGACATTAGCATCTGAGACAGTGATCCACACCGGAATGGGGCAGGCCTCAGCGCAGCCACTGGGCTGCTTGCTGACACTCTTTGAGCGGTCATTCTGAAAATCCTTGTTTCCACAGGCAAGAAACTACATTCAATCCCTGGCCCAGATGCCGAAGATGAACTTTGCAAACGTGTTTATTGGCGCCAACCCCCTGGGTAAGTTGGTCACGTTCATTTTGTGAGGTAAATTGGGGACTTGAAGTTTTGTTCTTCTTTAAGTTTATTTTGGGTCTTAATAAATGGCTGTTAGTGTCTGTGCTGTCACATTTAAACAAAAACCATACGATGGGCTTGTATATTTATATGGTCATGGAGTATGGTGGTGGAAAGGACAAGTGCAGCAAAGAACAGAAAACAGAAGGGAGTTATGGGAGCATGAGGAAGAATGAAGGAGGTCTAGAAGCCAGCCACGCTCCTCACAGCTCCTGGGGACGGGTGGGGCCAGGCTGAGGACAGGATGCAGAGGCACAGATGGCACTTCGTGCCCAGCACTGGGTGCTGTTGCCCTCCACTCTGACAGGCTGGCTCTCCCGCCTTTCCTCTTCTCTCGGCCCTTCATGGCCGGAACCAGCAGCCTTTTCAGAGTTAATTTGTCATCTCAGCAGTTAAGAGCACTGGCTGCTCTCCCAGGGGACCCAGGTTCAATTCCCAGCACCCACATGACAGCTCACAACTGTCTGTAACTCCAATTCCATCCAGGTAATCTGGCACCCTTTACACAGACACACATGGACATAAAATAAATAAATCTTAAAAAAAAAAAGATGTGTTTTGCCTTAGTTGAAACTCCAGTTACTGTTCCTTAAAGTTGGAGGCTAACCCATGCTTCCGATGGCCCAGGATGGTTTGCTGAGGCTCTGGTTCCTTGCTCCGTGACAGTGGAGTAGTCGTCCCAGAAAGAAGGGCCAGACCACAGTCTCCCTGCAGTAGGAGGGGAGTGCAGGGGTGTAGCCGCTGGCGTGCTCCACCTCTTCATATCCCTGCAGGTGTAACTGTGGACCTGTTTTTAAATCACGGCAATTGGTAAGTCTGTGTGGGTCATATCCCTGGTTCTGGGATATGGTTCTAGAATTAGTTGTTGTCTTTGGAGAGCTAATGGCCATGGCAGTGGCTTCAGAAGGTGGGATAGGCAGGTGCTGTTTCCCTTCAAGAATGTCATCCATAGCCACAGTACAGAAACGTGGCTGTGGTGATCCTGTAGCTGGAGAGGTGCCCGAACTCTTGGAGGACTGAGTCCAGCCTAAGCTGCCTCACTCTGGCCTCGGGAGTGCAGGGTACTGAGGGTTGGATTGGGTCTGTGGCCTCCCTGGCATGTTCTCACTGGGCCTTCTGTGACATGAGTGAGCTACAGTGCCCAGGTAGCGGTGTGTGAGGTGTGATCTGTAAGCTCTCCAGATGTTAGGGGGATAGAGAATGAGGCTACCCCTCGCACCTCACATTTCAGATGCACACTGTTTGACTCCCTCTTATCTGCCTCAAAAGGATTTCTTCTGCCTTTGATGGAAGTCACACACATCCTGATATGTGTCCCTATTTAAGCACAGACGAGAACCAGCTCCCATGAGTCAGTCCAGACTGCTGGGGAGTAAAATCTGGTGCCCAGTACAGCCTGCTCAATCCAAACACGCAGCGCATTGCCAAGTGCTGGTGGCAGAGGGAACATGCTGTGACCCATAGCTAGTCGTCCCCAACTTGCTAGCTGAACCACACAGCAGTGATATAAATATTAACAGCCCTGTTTTCAGTCACTGGCTTCGAATCACTGCTATTCTCAAAACACCTGAGAGCTCCACCGCCCTTTGATCTTAGTGTTGGCGTCTATGGAGATCCTTGAGATGTCTTTTCCTTGCTTCTGACCTGTTCTCATCTAAGTGCATTGGTCCTAAGATAGTGTAACTTTTTAAGGTAGGGTGGCAGGCACCCACCCATTTGTGTTCAGTATGAAATCAACAGATTTGTAGATGAACATGAAAAGAATATCTGTCTATTCAGGCAGTTCAGCCAGTGCCTCCCAGAATGCTGGGATTACAGGTGTGCACCACCATGCCCAGTGTGTACACTGCTGGGTGTGGAATCAAAAGCCTTGTGCACACTTGGCAAGCACTCTACAAGTTACATCCCAGCCCCTCTTTAAAGCGTGAGGTGACTCATGAATCTGAGCCCACATATGCTTATTTGCTGTTTCCTCTGTACCCTCAAAGCTTGTGCTTCTGTGGGTGACTGTGGAGTTCAGGCTGCAAGATGCATGATCACTCTGATAAGCAGAGGGACATCACCTCTTCAGGAAGCTTTTCTCCTCTTTAGCACCCACAGCCTTCCACTGTGAAGAAATTATCTGGGGCTGGAGAGAGGACTCTTCCAGGGGACCCAGTGCCCTTTTCTGGCCTTCTCAGCCAGCAGGCATGCACTGCTGTGCTCATAGAACTAAAAAGAAAGAACCCTGGGGTCTGAGAGCCTTTCTGTCTCGTTGATAACTGCTTAGGATGGCTTTACCCAAGCAGAACATCCTCCTCCTCAGAATTAGACAGCTCTGTGCCTCCGTCTCTAATGAGGTCATCGCTCTGGGGAGGGAAAAATCAGTAATGCTGAAACCATTATTGAAAGTAACTGATACCAGGAACCAAAATATTCCCCCAGATTACTCACTTGGGGAGAGAGGGGAAAGATCTCAAGATGCCAGTCACCTTTAGCTCCACTGGCTATTGTGCCCACCAGTTCAGAACATCACCTGGGACGTGTTCTTGACCAGTGTGCCTGACATTGTTCCTACCGAAGACTTAGGTCTAATTCTGGCTTTTGATAAATGTAAAGAATATAGGAAGCGGGGTGGGGAGGGGTCCATCCATCAGAGCACAGAGAAGCAGTGGCAGCCTGTGATAGACGATGGCTGCCCGCCTGCAACACATCTGCAGTGTCTGTCGTCAGAGGAGAGCCAGTAAGAAGCAAGGCTGGTGATACAGCCTGTCTGTATCCCAGTGTTGAGGAAGATGTGTTCAAGACCATCCTGGGCTACATAGCAAGGCTGAGGTCAGCTGGTTTCAGAAAGGCTAGAGAAAAGAGAGCCCCATAAGGAAGTCCCAGTTTGAACAAATGTAGGAGACAGCTGTGATGGAGATGTTTTACCACAGACAGGTTTGGGGTTAAAGACAATGTTCTGGTCACGCAGGATGATGTCTGTGTGCTGAAATATTTAGGGTATAAAGTGTCATCTCAATAACCTTAAAACAACTCAGGAGCGACACAGAAATAATGGGGGAAATATGTCAGATGTGGACTGACTGATGCCCCTGCATGGGTCATGGGTGCCCCTCCTGCTTCTGTATTCCAAATTTTCACAGTGAAAGTCTTAAGGATCAGATATCTTTATGTAGTACCTTTTCTTCTGCGACCCTCTGGGAAGCCTTCAATTTGCTATTGTTTGACATTCTGGGTGAATATTTATATTATGCTAGTATGTAATACTAATATGCTAATATAGACTACAATCAAGCTACCTGCCTTGTAGATGGTCTTAGCTGTCGACCTCCAGGCTTTGGCCATAGGGGGCCTCCATTCAGTACAGTTCATTCAGTTGTCACCGTGTGGCCCTGACACTGGAAAAAAAGTTTGTTCACAGCCTGGTTTGGGGGAGTAGATTTTGTTTTGTTTTTGTTCATTTGGAGTGTTTTGTTTCGTTTGAGTTTTTTGAGACTATGTAGCCCTGGCTGTCCAGGAACTCACTCTGTATTTTTCCTCTTGTGTGACAGCTGTGGACCTGCTGGAAAAGATGCTGGTTTTGGACTCAGATAAGAGGATCACAGCAGCCCAAGCCCTTGCACATGCCTACTTTGCTCAGTACCATGACCCTGATGATGAGCCTGTGGCTGACCCTTACGACCAGTCCTTTGAAAGCAGGGACCTCCTTATAGATGAGTGGAAAAGTAAGTTCAAAGGCAGGCTAGGGTGGGTCTCAAAGGGAGCTTGGTTTCAATCTATTCTTGTTTGGTTGCTTTGTTTGTTTTTTGAGCCAGGACTTTTCTCTGTGTTAACAGTCCTAGCTATCCTGGAACCAGCTCTGTAGACCAGGCTGGCCTTGAACTCACAGAGATCCGCCTGCCTCTGCCTCCCAAGTGCTGAAAGGTAGGTGCCACCAACGCAGCTCATTGGACCGAGGGCCTCACACGTGCAACACTCGTGTTCTACCACTGAGCCACATGCGCAGCCCAAGAACTTATTTTTAAAAATATTTTCTGGGCTGAGCAGTGGTGAGGCACACCTTTAATCCTAGCACTTGGGAGGCAGAGGCAGGTGGATCTCAGTGAGTTTGAGGCCAGCCTGGTCTAAAAAGCAAGGTCCAGGAGAGCCAGGCCTGTTATACAGAGAAACCCTGTCTCAAAAAACAAATAAGAAAAAATCTTTTCCGGGTGATTCTCACTTATCAAAAAAGGCTTGGGAAAATAGGGACTCATCAGTGGCAGCCTAGTGTTGTGTACACACCTGTGGGTCAGCACTCAGAAAGTGGGTTAAGAGTTTAGTGTTGCTGGGTGTTGGTGGCGCCCTGTCTCAAAAAAAAAAAAAAAAAAAAAAAAAAAAAAAAAAAAAAAAAATAAAAAGGGGGGCCGGGCCCAAAAAAAACCAAAAAAAAACCTTTCCAAAAAAAAAAAAAAAAAAAAAAAAAAAGAGTTTAATGTCATTCACAGCAACATAGGTAGCTTGAGGCCAGCGTGGGCTATATGAGAGTCTGCCTCAGTAAAGCCCTTGTGAACAGTTACTGCCAGCTCACTAAACTTACAGCCCGGGCCTTCAGGGCGTGTGTTCCCTGATGGAGTGTGTAGATGCTCACAGTGCACAGCTCTTCACATTGACACAGAGCTTTGAGGGGCGGGGGGGAGGGAGGGGCTCACTCACAGCATCTCTTCAGAATAAGTAGGGTCCGATGTATTTTCAGTTTTCCAATTGAGTTTTTATAGCTCACCTTTGGCCTCGTTAGGGGCTGCCTGGAATGGAGTCACATCTCCCTGTCCAGTGTCAGATTCCTTCATAAACCACAAGGCCAGCTCTCCAGTGAGACCCCAGAGCCAGGACTGTCTTCCACTGCGGTGCAGATGCCACACTGCTCTGGGCAGTGACGAGTGTCTGCAGGCAAACACAGCGCTGTCAAGTCTCACACCTTGCCCTTCTTTCCTGTCATAGGCCTGACCTACGATGAAGTCATCAGCTTTGTGCCACCGCCCCTTGACCAAGAAGAAATGGAGTCCTGAACACCTGGTTTCTGCTGTGTCGACCCCACTTCTCTGTGAGGGGAAGGCCTTCTCATGGGAACTCTCCAAATATCATTCAAGTGCCTCTTGTTGAAAGATTCCTTCATGGTGGAAAGGGATGCATGTATGCGTGTAGTGTCTGTCTGTCTGTCTGTCTGTCTTTGTGGCTGGAGTCACTGTGCTAGCAGTGACATCGTGAGTGGTAGTGCTTTCTCAGTCTGGGCAGGCAGATGGGAACTGCTGTCTTGTTAGGGGTATGCTAAGTGCAAAGTAAGAAATGTTAAGATATCCCTGTTCCTAGTTACACTTTTGCCACTCTGGCTTCTCCGGTGGCCCCACCTTTACCATACACCACAGTGGCACAGACAGGCCATCCCCCAGCCATGCATACAGAAGAGACCAGCTGGCTCCTGAGCTCTAGCCTGTGATTGGCTTGCTTAGGATGGTCCTCAGAGCCTGACAGGTGTGTTCAAAGCCGGCAGTCTGTTTGTGCCTTAAACAGAGAAGGACACAGAGAACCGCAGCTGCTCATGTTCTGAGCCAGGTGAACGCACAGGGTTGGTGGGTAGCCAGTGGTGAGCAAGAAGAAACAAGACAGCCTTCAGGGAAGCCGCGTGTGTGTGTGTGTGTGTGTGTGTGTGTGTGTGTGTGTGTACTTGTATACTTGTGTACTTGTGTACGTGTGCAGGAGCATGTATGTGTGGCCGCCCTCCCTCTCCCAGGAGCAAGCGGAATCTATGCTTACCCTTCACCTCAGTGCAGAGGTCCCCAGTACCAGGCGCAGGTTCCTGCCTTCAGCCGCTTCCTGTGTGCTCTTCACATCTGGCAGAGTGCAGGTGTGTTTGCATGCTGTGCCCTTGGAGCTTCCACAGCCCCCTTGTCTGTCCTCTTCGGAAAGCCCTGGGACTGCCAGGCATGTGGGGACTTGCTGGCAGTTCCTGTCCACGTTGCCTCCGCTGATGCCATGGGCACAATACTGCCTCCTCACTCCAGCGCTGCTTTGTGTTGAACACAACTGATCCTCCAGGTGCTTGTGGTGCAAGGAGATGCAGGACAGACAGACAGACAGACAGACAGAGCACCTGAACTCTTGCCATCTGACTGTCACCAGTTTGGGGAGGAAAAGAGGCCTCTCCTAAGAATGTCCCCAGCTCTGGAAATCATGCTCCCCTCACTTGTAATAATCAGCTAAGGAATCCTGAACCAAAGTGAGGAACAAAGGCTCATGAGGCCGGGACTCCCTTCACTGTCTTTCTCAAAATTGGGTTGTTAAGAACAAAACCAGGCAGGACCAGTGGCGCCCGTGCTCAGAAGGGTCCTCCCGGCAGCTTGACACTGACTGGTTCTCCGTCTCCGTGTTGATTTGGGGAGAAATCAATTTTGTCTTGGGATTTTGTATGTTATAGGAATCCTTAGAGAATGTGATTCCTTCTGATGGGGAGACAGGGCAAATTATTTTAATGTTTTGTATTTTCACCTTTATAAAGATGAAATCCTCAGGGGTGAAGAACTGTTTGCATAATTTTCTGAATTTCAGGCACTTTGTGCTGTATGAGGACCCGTATATTTAAGCCTTTTGTGTAGTAAGGAAATGAAAAGCCAATTCCAGTGTTGGCCGCGACAGGTCTGTATTAGGTCAAGGTGTCTGCACTCTCAATCAGTGCAGGGTCATGCATGCTCCAGGCGGGAAGGGTAGGAAAGACCCTGGATCGTCTGGAGCCCAGCAGGATGCAGGCTGGCCAGGCCTTTCCACCTCAGTGTGCAGTTCAGGACCTCACCACCCCAGGAACATGTATCCCGGAGGCCATGGCTGGTTATGAAGGCCAGTGTGTGGTTTCCAACTAAACTCTGCTCGGATTACTTACTTTATTGAAGTTGTGTTTGCACATGTGACCATGCTGTGGTAAGAGGCCCTGCTCCAGGGCCTGAACTCAAGGGAGCTGACAGAAGAGCTCCCAGCATCCACAGCGAAATGCTGCCATCTCCCAGTTTCTCTATCAGAAGACAAGGGAATGAGGGAACTGCTGTTTTGTTTGTATTCATGAACTTGGCTGTAGTCCCATATGCCATAGGATGTCAGACAATACCACTGGTTAAAATAAAGCCTATTTTTCAAATTCAGTTGGTTTCTCAAGTTCATTCCATTCCTCTTGATTGTGGTGTTTGCAGCATGGCTTGTCTTGAACTCACAGAGATCCACCTGCCTCTGCCTCCCGAGTGCTAGGACTAAAGGCGTGCGCCACTACTGCCCGGCCAGCTTCCATTTTAAATAAAATTTAAAAGTTAAACTTAAAGGCTGGGGGGCTGGGGGTAATGGTATGTGGCAGCCCACGCCTTTAGTCCCTCCACTCTGGAGACAGAGGACCCAAATTTGATTGCCAGCACTCAGTTCCAGGGGATCCAGTGCCACTGGCCTCTGGTATCCAAGGGCATATGTACACACACTTACAAGTCCTTTAAAAGTCAGATTTTACTCAAAGTCTTTTCCCCCACCGTGATGCCCACTTTGATGTGGGGAAGACAATTGTCTGCAATGGCTACCACCTACCTGGTGCCCCTAGAGCAGAGCCTCCCAGTGCCCATTGCTGGAGGCCGTTCCCAGGCTAAATGCACCTTTGGACAGCTCCCTGACTCATTGCTGACAGGCAGTGGGGTTTTACAGGAAAGTCCAAGGCCTGTGTGTCCTGGGTGTTGCCTGGACCTGCTGAGCTGGCAGGTGTCTGCCACTGTGCCACCAAGACACATCTCCCCTGGGCTATTGCTATGGCAGAGCCTCCATGGAAGACTTGTCACCCGATGGCTATCTGATAATGGCTGTGACAGCACTGTGTGGAGGGTGTCCTCACCTACACATACAGGACTCATAACCCCATCCTGAACTCGGAGGCCGCCGCTCTCCAGGCTCCAGTCATCCATGCTTGGTCCCTGGGTTTCTGAGGCTTGTTGGAGATCACTGATGGAGGACAGTCATATGACTTTTTCTGCTTTTTAAGATGTATTTTTATTAAGCCAGTTGTAGTGGCACACACTGTTAATCCCAGTACTTTATAGTCAGAGGCAGGTGGATCTCTGAGTTCAAGACCAGCCTGATCTACAGAGCGAGTTCTAGGACAGGCAGGGATACACAGGGAAACCCTGTCTCGAAAAACAAAACCAAACAAACAAAACCTCCCCAAAACTGTAAGGGCTTCAGAGATGGCTCAGCTGGTAAAGGTGCTTGCCCTCAAGGCTGATAACCTGAGTTTGATCCCTGGGATTCACAGGATAGAAGGAGAAAATTGGCTCTTGAAAGCTGCCCTTAGACTTGCACACAGGTGGCTTTCATGCTCCCCACACCACAGAATAAACAACTAAACTTCATAAAAAATGTAGTTGGGAGCCGGGCGTTAGTGGCGCACGCCTTTAATCCCAGCACTCGGGAGGCAGAGGCAGGTGGATCTCTGTGAGTTCGAGGTCAGCCTGGTCTCCAGAGCGAATGCCAGGACAGGCTCCAAAGCCCTGTCTGGGGGAAAAAAAAAATGTAGTTGGGATCATAAATGCATGATGTTATGATGCCAGTAAGCTGTGTCAGAATGACTGAGGAGCTGCTTCCGCCCTGGGAGCTACAGTCATTTCCAGGTAGAGGGAATATGTAAATGGAGAAGGAACTGAAACCCAGAAACCACAAGGTTAATGGATTTGTTGAGGATGAAACTGCAGGATTCTGTGAGGCCGGTTGCTGGCAGGAGCCAAACCTGCTGTCCTGCTCCAGCGTGACTGCCCTGGAGTGCGGACAGAAAGCATCACCTGTACCAATAGACCATCGACATCACAGCAGGAAACACCAGCAGTGTGTTCAGACAGGATTATTTCATAGCCAAGAAAGCAAATGAGGTGCAGCCAGTGGAGCATGGTGGCACAAGCTGGAATCCTAGCATTTGGGAGGCTAAGGCGGGAGGACCAGATGTTCAGGGCTAGCCTAGGCAACATGGAGAGACATGATCTAAAATACACACAGAGAATGTATCAGGGCTGGAGAAATGGCTCACTGGGTAAGGGGGCTTGCTGCCAAGACTGACAACCTAAGTTTGATCCTCAGAAGAATCTACAGGGTGGAAGGAGAGAACTGACTCCCAAAAGTTTGTCCTCTGATCCCCCGCCACACACACACGCAAATGAATACATTAATTAAAATGTAAAAAAAAAAATCTAAATCATAATAACAAAGGATTTTGCCTTCTTTGCCCCTTATTATCTAGGCGCTATTAGCAGGGACTATTAGCAGGCCTGAAAACTCTTTGGATTATCACCCTTGATCCTAGCATATAGGGGACGGGGAGGAACCAGGGAATAAGTTAAACA